ATCCACTTGGTGACTGTGATAGCTATGTTTTGTGTCAACTTGGCTGGGCCAGGAACCTCATTGGTTTGGCAGTAAGGCCGCCCCCATAAGGTGCACGTGACAGGTTGGTGATATCTCTTTAGGAGTGTGGCCCATTTCATATCTATAAATAGACATTGTGGAGAACTTGTTCTCTCTCTTCTCCTTCCTGCTGTCCTGGATCCTGTGTCTGTTTTCTAGGGACTTGAGCTTGTGTTCCAACATATGGCCTGCTGACCTAGTAAGCTGTCAGCAATCTGCCATGAACCCTGCCAACCTTGGATTCATTCAACTCAACCTCCACCAGCCTGCTTCCTTGTGCTTCCTCCTGCTTCCCGGTTCATCAGCCAGCAGCTGCACAAGTCAGATTCACACATGTAAGTTGGACTGGGCTTGCCTACTTTGCAATTGTGTGGACCATTTTCTTGACATAAAGTTCTTTATGATGCCTATGAGTGTCACTTCTCTTGTTCTCTAGAAAGCAGTTGGTTCTAATGTGGGTTGGACCTCATCCAATCAGTTGAGAGCCTTGAGTACAAACTGAAGTTTTCTAGGGTAGGAATAATCCTGCCTCAAGACTGCAATGTCAACTCCTGTCGAGTTTCCAGCCTGCTAGCCTTCGCTACAGATTTTAGACACTGCCATGGTGTAACTAAAATAAATGGCTCATTTACCCCCTCCCCTGCATTCTAGGTAAGGCCAAGGAGAATGATAGCAGAGACAAAGGACACTTGTGGCTCAATGTCACTGCAGGATGCTGACCAGACTGGTAAAATGGGCTCGTCCCAGCCATAAGCTACCCTTTCCTTTCTAGGTCACAGAAAGTGGGGAGATTGAAAGGTAGTTTGATTTGGGGGCATCATTTTTAAACTCTAATTACATAGCACCAAGGACTAAAACTAACGTTTTTAAATGTTCTCTTCACCTGGGATTTACTTTTCCAGAACAGGATTGGGTGGTGTTATAGTACGTTCTCTAATGAATATACTCCTAGACTTTTCAGTATGTTATAATCCACAGTATAGTCTCTGGAGTCAGGCTCCAAGTCTAACTTTCAACCCTATCTAACTAGATGACCTTGAGCAAGTTATTTAACCTCTCTAAACTACGATTTCACCTTTTGTTAAAATTAGGGCTAATAATAGCATGGGGATGTTTAAATGTAAGACACTTACTAATCTGAGAAAATTTAGTTCTTATGATATGGCCCTACTACTCATTTCTTGCCCTCCAGAATTATATCACATAAGGAATTATGGCTAGAAGGACCATAATAATTGACTATAACTCAGTTAGGTCTTAACAGTATCAGTGTGCAGTAAACATCAATGGAGGGGCATATCTGACCTCCTCTGGCTTCCCCATGTCACGAGGCAGAGACCAGACAAAACTCCGTGGCCCATCCTTCTTTACCTATTCTGATACCAAACCTTCCTCCCACGACACTGTACATCTATGCTGCATTTGAAAGTCTGTTTTAATGGCCACACCGAACTCTCAGATGCTACTCACAGTTGAGGGAGTTTATAAGGGAAGTTAATAGATTACCACAAGTCAAGATCAACAGACAGTAAGGAAACTGTCATTGGTCTTCTCAGCCAGGAGCCAAGTCTCCCCTCAGTGCCCAGGCTCTCAGCCATGTGGGCCTTTGGCCTTTGCCTCCATGAACCATGAAGCCATTTTGTGTGTCACTCTGTTCCACAATTCGGTAGTCTCACGCCAGATCAGGAGACGATACCCTACGGTCTTGGTGCTGCTCCTTGTTTAGTGAAAAAGAGGGTTGGCCAAACTGAGAAAGACCCTCAACAAGATGGTCCACCCAGTGGCTCCAACAACAAGCTCAAACACACCTGCAATGATGAGGGTGACACTGGCTGAGAAGTGCTTCCTTCCGTTAGAGACAGGGCTACTGTGTGTAAGAACCCAGTTAATGGCACCCCATAACAACAAAATGGCGTCAATAACACCTCCTACTCTACAAAGTTGTGGAAATAATATAACTTACATAAAAGTGCTCTGTCAATTGGGATAGTTCCGTAAAAAAGCAGGCTCATCCGTTGTCTCCATTTCCAAAGCACTCCAGAAAGATTATAGATACATTTCGGACCTTCAAGTAGGTAGAGACCCAGAACTGCCACTGTGGCAATGTGTAATGCACATCATCATAAACACATCCAAATCTTCTTATCACATGCTTCTTAAAGCAGTTTCATCTACATTATTCTATTTAACACTCACCAAAAACCCCAAGAATTAGTCTTTATCAATGAAAATCTTCACACTTGCTTTGTTACTATTTTCCTCTTCTGAGAAGTGGCCAAATCCTTCCCAGCTTCCCTTGTTAGTCCCATTGAAATGGCTACTTTGACCCAGAACCTGGTCATAACACCCACCCCCCATCAGCCTTCTTTCCGTTTCAGAATCTACCCAGCACTGTGTACCTTATGGTGTCATGCATTCTAGTCGTTTCTGTACTTGTCTCAACTTCCATCCCTTCTCCCCGTCTTCTCACTACATTCACCAACTGTTTGAAAGAAAGGGAAGGATCATTTGTTTGTTGTAGTTTTCCATCTCCCCTTTTTAAAGCTCTTTATTGTAGAAAATGTACAATATTTAAGAAACTTTCAAATATGCAAAAGAAGTAGGGGCTCCCTGGTGGACGGATAACAAAAAAGTGAGTGAAGGGAGATGTCGAACAGCGTAAGATATGACAAAATAATAACTTATAAAAAATTACCAAGGGTTCATCAGGAAGAAGGGAGCAGGAAGAGAGGGAAAAAATGAGGAGCTGATACCAAGGGCTCAAGTTTAAAGCATATATTTTGAGAATGATGAGGGCAATGAATGTACAAATGTGCTTTACACAATTGATGTATGTATGAATTGTGATAAGAGTTGTATGAGCCCCTAATAAAATGATTTTTTTTAAAAAGAAGAAAAAAAGAAGTAGGGCAAATAGTATAATGAAGCCCCATGTACCCATCATTCAGGTTCAACAATTGGCAACAAATGAACCATTTTATTGCATCTATACCTACATTCTTTCCCCACTCACTCTGGATTATTACCTATCATTTTATCCGTAAATACTCCAATATGAGCATCATCTTTTACATTTCTGTGTCCCCTACAATCAGATCATGTGTATCTGCGTTTCCTATGACTCAGAGCAACATCAGATCGTTTCTGACTGCTTACCATCTGTCAGACTTTGTGCTTTGCTCTGGGGGTTCCATAAATGAGTTAAGACGCCGCCGTTTGAGCTAGGGAGGCACACTAGTACCGAGTCGTGCCGTTCCTAACCAAGAACTGTTAAGTCCTGGGGAGTGAGCACAGGGTGCACGTGGGAGTCCATGAGTAGGACCTCGAATTGCACTAACTGAATTCAGCTGGGTCCACTTTCTTGTCTCATGGTGACCCTAAGTTTGAACGCGGTGCAGGCCTCCAGCAGAAGGAGCTGCCAAGGGGGGGTGGTCTGCTGGACTCAGCTACTCCTGCGGGAAAGCCAGTACCGAGTAATCTGTAAGTGAGCAGGAAGTTGAGCGTCAGAATCCGAAAGGGACTGGGAGGTTCAGGGACAAGGCAGAGACTCGGAGAGGGGTGGGGGTGGAGGGCTTAGTCCTGCTGCTGGACAAGCCTAGCACCCGCTCCAGGTTTTGTCTCCACTGCTTGTTGTCCGGGCTGTCCCCAGTGCCCGCCCCACCTACGGCTATTCCTAATAGAGTGTATCTCCAAGCGGGGCACAAGACGGAACCAGGAAACACCTGTTTCCAACAAGAAAAGAAGTAGCCGAACTCCTCCCCCTTCAGGTTTTCAAACGCCTCGCGTTGAGCTTTGTAAAAGTGTACCCAGAAAATCAGTGGAAATCGTGTTTGTTTATTCCCCCAAAGATCTTTATTTCTAAATCCCCACTCTTTTCCCCAAGTTGTAATGTTCTTCTTTTAAAAAAATGGTTGCTTTCATTTGTGGAGTTTCCCATTTCTCAGGGCTCACCACCATTCGTACTTCCAAAATTTGCAACTAAACTCACCTCCTAATGTTTCCTTAACCCCCAGCAGAGCTATAGGTAGAAACCGGGGCTAAGGAGCAGCACAACAAAGAACCAGACGGCCCATCCGAGGCTAGAAGCCTCTTCCCCTCGCCTGCCTCTGACCGACTGGGGAGCACAAGGGACTCACAAGTGTGAGAATCACAAAGCCCTGGTTTCCCACCACTTCCCAAAGGCCGGGGACTCGCGGGACAAAGGGACGATCCCGCACAGCAGACAGACCAACAGAAGCCCACCAAGCAGGCCTGAGTGGCCGCGGGGGCCAACGACTTCCACGCTCCGTTATTTCATCAGCAGTTTTCGAAAAAACTGCCAAAAGCTGTTATGCCTCACTGCAATGTGTAGCTTTTTCCTGCATTTTTTTTCCAAAATAAAAGGGAGTGAAACTCGCTCGCTGTCTCCCCCTCCTTCTTCCAAAAAGAGCCAAATGAGAAGGAGAAAGGGAGAAAGAAAAAAAAAACAACCCACACACCAATCTCTGAGTGAATACCAGTGAGGTGTGGCTTGTATTTAAATCGCCAATATGTCAATGTAAGGGGAGTGGGTATGTATATAAAGTGCCATTTGGCATCTGATAGCCCAAGAAACAAGCTATGAGAGACCGACCGGGGGCAATGGACGTGGCGGGGAAGCTGCGCTCTGCCTGAGAGCAAGGTCAGGAGTGCGCTGCCCTCCACTCCCAACCTCGGACAAGTTCCTTGGCCGCGAACAGACCACAGACGTCGCCCGGCGTTTGGGAGAGAGCAGAGCCAAGCCGAGTCGAGCAAAAGAGCTTGCAAGCGCCACGGAATCGCCCATTCTGGTGCTAGCCGCTGGAGAAGGCAGTTCGCGCCCTGCCACCCCGCTTGGGTCCTCGAGTGACCCGCACCCCTCCCACCTCCCCCCACCCCACCCCCTACCCCGCCCCGCCAGGGCCACCTCGGCCGGTCCCGCCATGGCAGAGGTGGGAGCGGTCTTCACCTCTCTGGACTGGGATCTCCACGGCTTCTCCTCCTCGCTGGGGAGCGTGCCCTTCGCGGACTCCGCGGGCGTCCTGACCGAGCGCCTGGGCCAGATCGAGGGGAAGCTGCAGCGCGGCTCGCCCACCGACTTCGCCCACCTGAAGGGGATCCTGCGGCGGCGGCAGCTCTACTGCCGCACGGGTTTCCACCTGGAGATCTTTCCCAACGGCACGGTGCACG